ATACCTCTCCAAGTCTGGTCCAGGTCTGACTGTGGGTTGGCTGGGGTTGTCTGCCTTGGCTCTGGCCACTGGAGTATAGACAGAAGTGACCAGTGCTGAGCTCAGACTACCTTCTCCTGCTGTTCCTTCCACTGCCATGGTGATTGTGGCGGATGTCGGCCAGTGTTGGAGATGGAGTCAACACAAGATAGAAGGGACCTGAAGGCATTGTCATCAACTGGAGGAGGGCTACCTGACCCATATTGCACTGTGACATGAACAAGCAGTGACTCTGTATTGTGCCTATCTGTTGAGATGATGGGTATGTTTGTTACAGGAGCTAATATTGCCTATACTGACTAATACAGGTAGACAGCTCGGTCGGGTACAGGGAACACCTTGACCTCTGTGGCTGAGCAGAGCATTGAGAGGGCTCACGGCTAGGCAGTATGTGACCACTGATCCCTAACACTAGCTGGTAGGAGGCATGAGGTCAGAGGAGGGGAAAACATGGAAAGCCACAATGCTGAGAATAATAGGTGCTCAATAAAGCAGGTCGAATGAGTGAAATACATGAGAACATTGGAAGAGATTTATAGCGATGGCTGAGTTCACCAAAAGCCCATTAGGAGGGAGGGAGGGAGTTTGGAGGAGGGACCGGAGTAGAAGCAATCACTCTGCAAAGAAATACCTAGAGCTGAAGAGCTGAGAAAGGCCAGGCCCAGTCTGTGGATCTGAGGCCAGCGGGCAGTCGGTAGTTGGGGAGATGAAGTTGGAAGTTTGAGGCCCTCAAAGGCCACGCTGACTAGCACACCCTGAGATCTTAAAGACTTTATCAGCAGTGTTAGCAATCATAGTCTTTTGGAGTGGTCACTCAGGCAAGGTGGGCATAGCAAACTATTGGGGTATAGGAATAAAATAATACAATTTCTATCTGCATTCATTTCACCCCTTTAAATATCTATTTTTTAGTTTATAGGAAAACACAGAGGCTCAGAGAGGTTGAGTAACTCACCCAAAGTCACACAGCCAGTAAGTGTACGTGATTCCGAAGCCCAGCCATGCCTTTCACATATGCTGAGTCTTATGCAGACAGGTGAGGGCTGGGTGGGGAGACAGGCAGATCCAGGGGAGGGAGTAGAGAGTGAAGGCAGCCCCCGACTCAGGCTGTCTCTGCCATGAGCCACTGTGAGCAGAGGTCAAGGAGCCTGGCCTGCTCTTCTGGCCCCAAAGCTGTCATGAGAAGCCAGACAGATGGCCTAGGTGGCATGGGCCTGAGTCCCCTATTCCAAGTCTGTCATCCCAGGGCTGGAGATAAGGAATGAGTGGCACAAACCCGTGCCTGGCAAGTGCAAAGTCATGAGTTTGAACCCCAGCCCAAAAAATAAAAATAAAAATAAAAATAAAAAGTAGACTGGGGTATAGCTCATTATTGCCTAGAGTATGTCACCAGGGTCTAAGTGACCCTTTTTTCTGCCCCTCTCTGTCACTCCATTCTGACTTCTCAGTTCCTATCCTGCTCCTCCTGCACTGCAAAATAAAATAAATAAATGTAAAAATGAAATTGTAATTAAAATATGTGCCTAAGAAAATGCAGTTAACAGCGTATCATGAAGGTAGGTGCATTTCATGGCTTATACAAGGAGATCCTGTCTAAAAAAAATGAAGGAAAGAAAGAAAACCAACAGAACAGTATAACACGATTGCTTTTTCCAAACTGAATACATTCAGGGGTAACTGAAACTCAGATCAAGAAACAGGACATCTGTGAGCCCCAGGACCTTCTCGCCCCTAACCCTTTCCAGCCGCCAGCTGTAGTTGGAGGTTACTCCTGTAGCAGCCACCCTCGCCCCTGAGCCATGGGCTGCCTTTACGCAGGGGGTGACAGGGATCTGACCTCCCTAGGCAAACAGTCCAACGCTGAGCTTCACTCGCAACCCAGTTTTGCCTGTTTTTGAACTTTATATAAATTGGACCACTCAGTGTGTGCTTTTCTGTGTCAGGTTCCATCTCATTCGACATTAGGTTGAGGCTGTAGAACATTCCAGAACACGCATTTTATTGATCTGTGCTGCTGCTGGAGGACCCTTGAGTTGTCCTTAGTTTTTGCCTATTTAAAGTATAGCTAAGTTGGGCATGGTGACACAGGCTGGGAATCCCAGGAGTCTGGGATGCTGAAGCAGGAAGATCACAAATTGGAACCCAGTCTAGGCAATTTAGCAACTTAGCAAGAATTTGTGTGTGTGTGTGTATGCATACATATATACACACACAAATGCTGGGAATATAGCTTAGTGAAGGTCCTGAGTTCAATCCCCTAAAACAAAATAAAACAAAGCCCTGCTATGAATCCTGTGTATGCATCTCTTTCTGTGGTGTATACCGAGTGTGGTCAGCCACTCACTCAGCTTCAATAAAGCTCTTTTCATTTTAAAAGAAAAATTTCCTTGTTGCTTTTGCTTTAATCAGCTTTAGAAGGTATAATTAAATATAATAAAACGCACCCATTTTAATGGAAGACTTTTATAATTAAGATACAGAATGTGTCCATCTCCCCGGAAGTCACCTTCTGCTCCTTTGCAATTACTGTGCCCCACCCAGCCAACCGGGAGCCACAGCTTTGATTTCTATCACTGTGTTTGTGTTGTGCATCCTGGAGGAGCTTCCTGTAACCAGAATCCTACAGGGAGCCCCGTCTGTGTCTGGCTTCTTGTCCTCTGCACCCCGTCTGGGGGTTGCACTGTCTGCTTGTCCACCTTGCTGCCTGCACCCCTTGCATAGTACACACTGCCTCTCCCTTCCGTGGACGGATGCATTAGCTGTGACCCATCTGGCTATGAAAGTCACACCACTATGATCCTTCAGGCACAAGACCGCGTGGACAGGCGCTCCCAGTCCTGGTGAGTAAATAAGGGAGAGCCGCGTTGCGGGGTCCCGGGTAGGGATATGTTTAACCTTACAGGAAATTGCTAAACCGTTTTCCAGAGGGCCTGAATCCCCACACGCTCATTAGCAATGGGGCAGAGACTCTGCTCTCTCTGAGTTTGCCTGTCTGTTCTGCCTTGGCCATTCGGGGTAGCCAGCTGGCCTCCAGGAGGGGCACCTTTCCCTGTGCCTTATGGCCATTTGTCTAATCTCTTTGGTGACCACTCCATTCAAGCTTTATTATTTTATTTTTCCCATCATGCAGGCACAGGCCCCGCCTCCGCCATCAGCACGCCCAGTGTCTTTCTTTTTGTTTGGAAACTTGTCGAACTTGGCTTTTCATCCCAGTGTTTGCCGTTGTGCCCGACAAGCCTTCTCGGACACCACAATACATGGGCCACTCCCATGCTCCAAAACCTGCTATGGCTCCCCAAGCTTTCAGAGTCAGCTGCCATCTGGGGGAACCTTCAAATCCTGGTCCCTATCTTTCTCTCCCATCTTCCTTTATGTTTGCTGCAAATCTCCCCAGCTCTACTCCTGCCCCTTGCCTTGAGGATGAGGAACACCTTGTTTCCTTCCTTCTTCCCCAGGGTTAAGCCCATATCAAGTCTGCTCTCTGCAGGGAGGCCACCAGCCAGCCCTGCCCCACAGGACCTCCCGGCTCCTCTGCTTCTGGCTGGCACTCTGCATTTGCCTTATGTTGTTTTCATAATTTTCTGTGGTTCTGGAAATTGAAACTTTGTCTTCTACAGTGCTGCCTAGATGTCTGGATGGCATCTGGGACCTGGAGAAAGGCCATTTATTTATTCATTAATTTAGAGCTGGAGATCGAATTCAGGGCCTAAAGCATGCTAGGCAAGCACTACCCTAGGAGGGGCTTCTTGGAACCATCGTGAGAGAGCTGGGTTGCTCGGGTTGCGGGTTGCTCGGTGTGCCCAGCCCAGCCCAGCACAGCCCAGCCCAGCTCAGGAGGGGTTTCTTGTATATGGGTTCAAAGTGGTGGGAGTCCTCTTATAAACTCATAGTATTACATAGTATTATTGAATATGTAAAAAATATTGAATATATTCTAAAAATTGTGTATGAAAATCCTAGTTTGTTGATGTAGGCAGGGGCCACGAAGGGAGAAGAGTACCTCTTAGGTAGGCTGATCTTGAACTCACTGTGTAGCCCAGGTTGGCTTTGAACTCGAGGAGATCCTACTGTCTCAGCCTCCCGAGTGCTGGAATTACAGATATGCACCACTACATCCAGCCTGACCTTTTTAAAAAAGAGACTTCAATATGGAACTAGGGGAAAATACAGCAAAGAAGAAAAAGCAGGACGGGGAGGGAGCAGAGGGCAGTGGCTTACCCTCCAAGGACCCAGGTCAGCTTCTGCAGTGCTGGGTGGCTGGTCCTGGACTGACAGGAGGAGCTAGGAGCTGGGTCTGGGGGGCTGGGGGAGGCCTCGGGTTCAGATCAGGCACCCCTAGTGAGTGAAACTGTGGAGGGAGCCCAGCATCTAGTCCATCCACTAGATGCTGATCTCTGGACAGACTTTTCCCCCAGCCAGTCACCACCTCTTTCCTGATGCATTACTGAGCTGGAGCCAACTCCACAGGGTCCCCTCTGCTAAGGCCACACTCAGCGGGGACTCCCACACCCTGTCCCACCCGAGGAATGAGTCCTTGAACTTTCTTAAGTACTCTGCGTTCCAGGCCTGTTCCAGGTACTGAAGACATCGCTTGAGCCAAGGGGGCCACGCAAAGGCCCTGGCACACCTAGGGTCCATCTGTTGGTGTACACAAGAATGAGTTGGGATGGAGGATGGTAGGGAACTACTAGACCAAATTAAAAGAATCAGGGTCTGGGGATAAAAACGCCGCAACAACTCCAAGTAGAGGACAGAGACTCTTGAAGCCAAGGGCATTGAGGTTATGGGCTAGGGAAGGCTTTTGGGGTCTCCACGGTGTCTCTGCTCCCCCCTCAGCCTAGCCACCTGGTTCCTGCCCGAGGGTCGCCTGTCCACCCCGGCGCATCACCTCGGCCCCTTTCGCGCAGTTCAGGTGCGGTGAGCTGTTTTGGAGGGTGCACGTGGGCCGTGCGCAGCAGGAAGCGCAGGGGAGACCCGCATCGCAGCACGAGAGAGCCGGATCGCTCCGGTTTCTTGGTGCACCCAGCCCAGCCCAGCCCAGCCCAGCTCAGCAGGGCCCAGACTCCGCCCCGGCCCGCCCCGGCTGCCCTCCCAGCCGGTGTCCCAGACGCACACCGCAGTTCTCTGGTCCTCGCGGGCGGGCGCGCTGCGGGGACCCACGCGCAGGGAGCTCATGGAGCCGGCGTGTGCGCCCCGGCAGGACGGCAGGGCGGAGCAGCTGCTGGGCGAGCTGGAGGCGCTCGTGAAGGACGTGGTGAGGGCGAGCTCGTGGTGGGAACGCCGCGGTGTGGACTGCGCCATCCTGGTGCTCAGCCTCCTCGCCCTGCCGGCAGGTGAGGGACACGGAACCCAGAACACAGCGGAGCCGATTGCGGATGCGGGCGGGACGCGGGGTGTGGAAGCGATGCGCACTGTGTTGCCGGCTGGAGGGGAGCGGGACGCGGGGAGCTAGAATGGGGGGGGGGGCGTCCAGTGCCTGGGACCCCAGGACCAAGGGACAAATCTCAAACCTGAAAGTCTGGTTTGGGGTGTTCCGCCCATGTCTGCAGAGGAGCTGGGCTGGAGGTGGAAGCCCAACAGCATGAAGGTGGCAGCGAGGAAAGCCGGGAATTCTGCAGCGGTGGGGAGGAATGAGGTGACCTGGGAAGGGGGAGAACTGTCTAGAGGGGCACCAGGGTAGCTGGGGGAGTGAGGAGGGAAGATAGGGCTTTCATCTGGACCTTATGGTCCGGAATTCCCAAAATACCAGCCCCATCTCTGCCTCGTGCTGGGGTTCAAGGGGGAGACAGACCAGAATCAGGACCACTAAGTCTCACTGGGAAGTAGGGGGCTCTGATTGGTCCCAAAGTTGGTAAACACAATCATCTCACCACGTCAGGTGTCAAGAGACCTGTGCCACACCTGCCTTGGCAGCCTGCTTTGGCCTGTGATTTTGAGTGGGCTGTTTGGGTCCAGTCCCCCAGAGCTGGAGACAGACTTTCTTCCTGTGTCCCCTCCCACAGGGTTCCTGTGCCTGCGCTCTGAGAACCTCCTGGTCTTTGCCGTTGGCATCGCTGTGTTGGGTGTGTGCCACTATACGCTCACTGTCAAGGGCAGTCACCTGGCCACTCACAATGCCCTCTCTGAGTCCAAATTCTGGAACAATATCTTAGCACTTTTCTTTGTGGAGGTGAGTGTGTATGTGTGTGTTTTGCAAGAGGGGTGTGGTGAGACAGCCACTGGTACCACACGGGTGAGATCATTATTCTGTGCAAGTGTGCAGGTGTGTACAACTGTGTGTATGTGACTGTGTTCACAAAGGCAGGCAATCGCTGCTGTTGAACTGTGAATTCAAGTGTACATGCAGTATGCACAAACTGCAGTGTGTGTGCGTGTATGAGCGTAAACATGCGTGTGCACTTATGTATTTCTTCAAGCTCTTCAGAGGCAGTTTGTACTCCTGGGTAGAGAACCGCGTGATACATGTCCAGGGCCTGCTTAGGCCAGCAGACTTGGCCTGGGCACGGTTTTCTCCTGGCCCGCTCGCCTCTCTGTAGCACTGGGCCAAGTGTGACTTCCTTCTCCTAAGACACCTGGGGCTGGCGGGCCCTGCTCTTTGACTGCCTTGGCCTGTGGTTATCATCGAGGTCTTGAGGGTTTGCAATCAGGGTTTAAAATGTGACCCATGGAGGCTGGGGATTTAGCTCAGCGGCGTAAACGCCTGCCTTGTAAGCAGGCAGTCGTGAGTTCGATCCCCGGTACTGATAAAAAGGAAAAAGGCAAATAAATAAATAAAATAAAATAAAATGTGACCCACAAACACAAAGGGGAGGAGCCCAAGTCCCAGCTCTGGATCCTGTGATGCCTGATAATGGCTGAGCTGTCCTGAGAAGGCTGTGCTCCCCCAGCTGTCAGGAAGGACCCTCCTCTCTCCTGAGCCCTGCTTTCCCTTCTCTGTTCCTCCCCGCTCTGCTTCTTCTCACTTGCGAAGCAGCCAGGAAGGCAGAGGTTCCTTGCCAGACTGCCCTCCTCTCCTACCTGGGCTGCGAGCCTCTCCAGATTCTCCGCCAAACTCATGCTTTTCTTTTCTAGGGTGGGCCTTATTTGGCCCCCCTTAGGAATAAACTGTGAGGCCATAACAAAAACAGGCCTTTTCTGGCAGGGACTGGTTACCATGGCTGACTAATTCAATTATTAACTTTTGATAAAAACTCAATTGTTAGCTTTTCATAAAGCTGTGTAACTTTATAAAACTTCATGTAACTATATATGCACACACCTTAAAACACGTAGTGGAGTGGTAGAGATATTTCTCACCCAGCATTTTATGCCCGTTTTTTTCCCTCTTCCCCCACCCGTTCTCTTCCCACCAGAACATTGCTCAAGGGCAGAGGAACCCACAGTCCCCTGATCTTCAGGGATCCTTTCCAGTGACCCCTGGCTGTGGCCCCAGGCAGATGTGGAGGTGTGGGCCAGACCCTGGAGTCTGAGTCAGACACTACTGAATTTGTGACCTGTGGGGAGAGACAGGGGAAGGGCAGGGGCAGTGCTGGCTGTGCTATCCGCATAGGCACTGGGACTAAGTGGGCAGGATGAGCTGTTTGGATTTCAAATCTGTACTGAGTGCCAGGAGCCTGGAGGCAGCCGGTGGTGAGCAGAACTGAGGACTAAGTGGCTTCAGGATTAAGTGACCACTGCACACAGATGGCCACGGGATTCTTAAGTGTGGGTGCATAGCCAAGTCACCTGGAGCCTGGGCTTGTGGGAGGAGAGGCCCGTGGCCATCGCATTTTTATCAAGTTCCCTAGGGCTCACACAAGAACCCTCCAATCTGACAGCTGCAGGGATGCAGGAGCTGTTACGGATGGAGAAACACATGTATGCACACGCACACTGTGGTTAGTCCATACTGCACACTTGCGTTCACATGCCAACAGGAGCAGCTGCCTGCCCTTGTGACACACTTACACACACAGCTGTACACACCTGGTGTTACGTGCAGGGAGCAGTGGATACCACTTCTGAGAAGCCTTCCTCAGGACCCAGCACACGGTGACCTCTAGGACCAGGCAGCTATGGGGCCGAATTCAGCTTACAATGCCTGGCCTTGTTCTCAGGAACCCCAGACCAGTGACCTTGCTCTTACCTCTTTATCTGTTCAGCCACAGGCCTGAGCTCTTGGCACGTCTTGCATTAGTATTTGTTGGCCATGACCCTGCAGTTGGAAATGGGACAACAGGTAAGGTCCAGGGAAAAGCCGTGTGACAGAGGATCACCTGGGAACTTGCGCCCCTTGAGGCAGAGGAAAAGCTTGGTTCCTACCTCGTCCTATGACACTGGCTGTACAGTGAGCTGTGGGGCAGGGCACAGGTAATTTGTCACCTGGGTTCTCCAGGACCCTGGATGGAGAAGGCCTCTCTATTTTCTGACCTCTGCGGAAGGTCCAGTCCCTGGGTGTGGGAGGGAATGGATCAGCCACCCTCCCCAGCTGGCATGTGTGAGGCCGCTGGTGTTACAAGCCAGGCAGGGGCCTGGAGTCAGGGGCATGGCCTTTGGACTGTCAGTTGGAATCCCAGCCCCACTGGCTGCCAACATCCAGAGTTAGTTCTCTTGTGGAATCAATGGCAGTGATGACGTGGCCTGCTTCTTGGAGCCAGTGTGCCCTGGGTGAGAGACCACAGACCTGACCTTGATACTCTGTGAGCATTTTGTCCCTGGAGGGAAAACATGGTCAGCTGCAAGGTCAGGGTGAGCTGTTTGTGGTGACATTTGTTGTTTTGCCTGTTCAAGTCTTATTTTTGTTAACTGAGGCTGCCGAGCTCCATGGAGCTGGGTGTGAGTTGGGGGCTGGGTTGGGTGGCACACAGGACAAGGTCTCAAGTGGCCTGGGGCCTCCAAAAACACCCTGGAGCCTCCTCGACCTATGGTTCTCACTTCTACAGGCTGGTGTCTTCTCCCTTTCTGCCTTCTCTTGGTGGGACCTGTGCTCTGCCCCTGGGTCATCAGAGACACTGTCACTGCATGAGCATGTAGTTCCAAGCCCTGGCTTCCTTCTAGGACCCTGCCAATGCAGTAGCCTCAGCTGAGAACCATTGGTTTTCTTAGGCATGCAGTGTTTGCCGGGATTTCTCAGGGCTTATTGGCTCCAAGCTGTGGTAAGGCCAGGGCCTCTCTAACTCAGTGGCTGTGAGTGGATGGAAATCTCCATCCAAATCATATACCCCACCCTATACTGGTAGGCTTCACTCTGAGGACCCGCTCCTGACCTAGAAGAGAAACTTCCATCCTTCCTAGCAGTGAACCTCTCTCTAGCTATGGCCTTCCCCAGCAGAGCACATGGCCAACCCTTCGTAGTTACATCACTGACATCACCAGCCGTATCTTTGGGTACTTCCAGAAAAGGGTACCACCCACAGATGGTCACTGGAAGCTGGGGGACCACTGTCCTGCATGCAGTCACTCAGGACACTTCCCCGGGTGGGAGGGAACAGGCCGTACCAGCTGTGAAGCTCTGTATTGTGTCTTAGCAACAAACACGCCTTGTGACGTTGGCTTTGTGCTGTAAGGGCAGAGTCACAGCTGGTCCACAGGGAGCCCTGCACAGTGCTGGTGCCCTGCAGGAAGAGCTTGTCACACAGGGGAGTGCCTGCCACCATCCTCCTGGCCTCTCGTAGGGTGGAAGCTGCTGAGAACCCTGAGCCTTGCTCCCTAAGTTTAGTACTGCTGTTACTTCCTGGGCCTCTCTTTGTCCTTCTCCGGTCTTGTCCCCACCTAAACCCTGAGAGCTCTTCTTTGAAACCAGCTGTGACTTCTTTCCTTTCCTTTCCCCTCTTACTTTTTCCTCTTCCTCTCAGTTTGTTCCTTCCTTCCTCCTGGTGCTGGAGACTGAACATAGCGCTTCATGTATGATAATCATGTGCTCCACTGAACTGCGCCCCAACCCCCAGCTGCAGTTTCTTATAGTTTCAATTTTTAAAATGTATTTGGGGACAAACACAGATCTTCAGTACAAAAATATACTTTTTGTACTGGTCCAGGGACACAGCTCAGCAGCACAGTGCCTGCCTGATAAGTGTGAGGTCCTGAGTTCAAATCCTGGTGCCAAAACACACTTTCATGTAAAAACTTAATATTTTAAACAATTACAGACTGGCAAAACTTCCAAAAATGGAAGTTATCTGGTGGACTTTCTACCTGGTTTCCCCCAATAGTTATATTGGTGTATGTCTTTCATTTGATCTTGAAACCAAGGAAACCATGGTTGCTAATGTGTGCAGGCACTCACACATGCGCATGCGTGTTCTGTGACCCCCATCACATGTATTCCTATGTTGCATTTTTAAGCAGTGCTTTCCCTTCCCTGAACTGTGTACGACTTCCTCCAGGAAAAGCTTGAGTACTACAGGGAGGGGTTCTCATTCTGATTCCTATTCTTGGGAGCAGCAAGGGAGAGGGCTCCCTCAAAAACCCCGGGGTGGGAGCAACTCAAATTGCCCTGGACTGATCACAGCACTCTGCACTGGCACAGTAGGTATGAGGAACAGCCCCTTGAGGGCAGGGCTTGGAGAAACATGGCAGAGACTTTGGAGGACTTTGGTGAGTGTGACAGGAGACACCCAACCAGGAGAGGAGTCTTGGAGGAAACCCCAGGGTGATGGGAGCTTTGAGGGCCAAGAGCATGGGCTGAAGCTCTGCGTGGGTGAACCAGGGCCAGGGTGCACTCTGCTCTGGGGGACTTCTGCTCTGTGCCTGGCTGTGTGCCACCAGGTGCTGGGGACCCGATGGTGAATAAGACCCTTCTGTTCCCAAGGGAAAGAGGTAAACAAGTGACATCAACGTAATAAAGGTCCAAATCATGTGTGGCAGCACACATCTGTCATCAGGGCCATCTGGGAGGCTGATGCAGGAAGATCACAAGTTGGATGGAGCCCAGCCTGGGCAATTTCGTGATTTAGTGACACTGTCTCAAAATAAAAATGATGCTGGAGATGTAGCTCAGTGGTAAGGTCCCAGGTTCTTCCCCCAGTCTCCTCTGTTTCTCTTTCTCTTTCTCTCTCTCTCTCACTCTCTCTCTCTCTCTCTCTCTCTCTCTCTCACACACACACACACACACACACACACACACACACACACACACACACAGATCCTGATTGTAACAGCTGACGCTTGCTGGCTGCTTACTATGCACTGGACATAAATCACCCATTTACCTCTCCTGCCTCCTTAGGAGCCCACCTATTTTGGATGTGTGGAAACACTCATTTGTAGGGGGCACTAAGTCACTTAAGGCTGCACAAATGATATGGGGGGCAGGGCTGGGACCAGGACAGCAGAATGTGACTAAGTCATCATCCTAGTGCTGTGAAGACTCAGAAGACTCATTGTGAGGGCCGAGTGCTGGGGACATTGAGCAGTGTCTGCAGACTCTTTGGGCTGTCAAAGCTGGTGTGTGTATGCATGTGTGTTAGTGTCGGAGGTAGTGAGCAGAGCCCAGGGATCTGTTAAACTTCCTACAAGGCCCAGGGCAGCCCTCAACAGAAGATGACTTAACCCTAAACACCAGTGGTGTGGAGGCTGGAAAACCCAGGGGAGTTTCCAGAAGAGGCAGCGTGGCCATTCACACACAGCAGATGTCCAGGTGATGGCATGGATATAGGGGCCAGTGCAGTGCACAGGGACCCACAGAAACCTAGGGTCTCTGGAATCTAACAGGGAGGGCTTCTGGAGAAAGGGGAGCCAGGAGGCCTGCATTCTGGGAGGAAGGACTGGGATTTTGAGCTGTGGCAGAGGTAGTATCTACCCTGGTAGTTTTTCTGATTTTGATTTCATGACAGGGTTGCCTATGTTGGCCTCAAACTTGGGATTCTCCTGTCTCAGCCTCTTGAGTGCTGGGATTCGAGGTGTGTACCACCATACTTGGCTTATGTTGGCAGTTTTAAAAGCTATTTTACTTTCTAAACAGGCAGTGCATTTCTGTGATCCAGAATTCAGAAAGTACAGGGATAGGTCTTCTTCCTCTCCTGTTCCTCAGCTGCCCCAAATTTTCCTTCTTGAACATGATGGAGGTTATCTATCTCTTCTGTATCCTTCTCTATTATTTCCTTCCTTATTGTGCTTGTTAAGTAAACAGTACCCTGCAGTATTTAAAACATAATTTTAAAATTATGGTGCAATCAAAGATGGTTGTCACTGGGTCCCGCTGCTGGATTTGAGGTCAGTGAGGCAGGTAACAGGTCAGAGAGGAGCTGATGGTCAAGATGGGGTAGAGCATGGGAAGCAGGGTAGCTGGGCAGGATCTGGCCAATGGGAAGAGGGAAAGGAGTGGGGAGCATCAGAGCAAGGGCTGGGGACACAGCTGTGGAGAGGCCACTCCTGAGGTGACGGGCAAGGGCAGGACAACGCCTAGCTCCCATTCCTCCTGTCCTGCCAATTCCCCCAGGATGAGTAGCCCCTCTGGCTGGATTCCAAAGGCTGGGGCGTCTGGGTCTGTGTGAGCAGCGGTGGGTCCTCCAGATGACATATAGGAGGCTCGGGCCAATTTGAATTTTCAGATAAGCAGTTTTCTTGCTAAGTATATCCCAAAGAGGACAGGTGTCTGTTGTTTATCTGAAGTTCAGATTTACCTGGCTTTCTTGCATTTTCACTGGCTGCATGTGGCAGCCCTACTCAGGGAGATACTCATTCCTGAGCTGAAGCCCTCAGGGGAAGAGGCAGGGTTACGATAAATAGAGCCACATTTTAGCCACTCTTGGAATAGGAAAAGGACAGTAGTGAAAGCCACAGAGTGGGACATTTTGAGTACTCTTTTTGAGGGCATTGGGCTCACTGTGGTCAGAATGAGCCCATCAGGGCTCAGAGAATGCTTAACGTGGACGAATAATTGCATGATCTGTGGTTGCTAACATCTACCTAAAGATACCCTAGAAATTATACGTGGCATAGTCTGGGCCTGACTGATGTGGGCTCAGTAATGGATGTGCTGTGATGTTTTTACCAGGCACAGAGGGTGGCAAGTGACATTAAGAAGCAATACTAAGCCATGTATGATGGTGCAAACCTGTAATCCCAACACGCTGGGAGGCTGAAACAGGAGGATTGCAAGTTGGATCCCAGCCTGCGTAACTTAGTAATTTAGTGAGATCCTGTCTCAGAAAATAAAAGGGGTGGGGCTGTAGGTCAGTGTGAAGGCCCTGGTCTCAGTACTGCAAAAGGACAGGCGTGCTGTAAGTTTTGTGGAAGTTTCTCTGGGTACAGATGTGGGATCCTCTTCAGCAAGACCTTTAAATGGTCCTTGTCTCTCACTGCCCTTGGGTGGATGGCGGATGGGTGCACATGAGCTGTGCTGTGACCATCCTTCCCTTCCAGACCCTGCACCTCTTTCTCCCCCCCTCGGGATCAAACATCTAAATGGAAGTGAGAAATCCACTGTTGTAGAAAGAGTTTTGATCTTTCCTTATTCCTATAAAAGGCAAGTTCGTTCACTGACACTGGAAGTGTATATAGTCATCAATCATATGTCACACATGTCACCGCCCATCTATCTCTGCAGCAGCCACAGGCCTGAGCACATGGAAAAGAACTTGCTGAGAGCCCCCAGGCTTGGGAGGGTGACATTTCTCAAGACTTTCCACTGGGGCCAGGCTCCAGGTTGCTTCGGGCGTTGCCACTCAAAGTGTAATAGGCTGCTGGCCTGTGAGGTGGGGAGCAGGTGCCAGGAGGAAGATCAGCTATCACTAAGCAGATAGCTGCATTCAGCTGACTTCTCCTGACAAAAGAAGGTGGGCAGATAGGACCGGCCTATGGAAGAGCGTGGGAGAACGTTAGTTCCAAACAGTTGCTTCTTCCAAGTCCATGGGAAACAATCCAGGGGGGTAATAGGCCTTGGGCAGAGGCCAGACTAGCTTGGAGGGCCTCAGACTCCCCCATGGGCCCCAGCTGCACCTTCTTTGAACCTGCTGCCAAAAACTTCGGGTACTAACTTTGACTGTGCGGCCTTACTGGGTGAGGCTCGTGAGTGGGCAGGTCCCACAGAGACCAGTGGCCCTCGAAGAGGCTGGAAGAGGTCGCTTTAACTGATTCCTCATCCACCCAACCTCTGCTACCTCCTCTGTGATCTGTCCCTGGTGAGGTTACACGAGCAGAGAGCAAAACCTGTCCTTAGGTGGGTTGCATCTCAAGGGTGCCCCAACCTGTTGTCGTGGATGAGGCAGAAAGGTTGTGGCAGAATCAGCACTCACTTTTGAGTCCTCTGTCTCAGAGGGGCCTGCACGGCCTTGGTGGCTGGGACACCATCTTCATATGGCCTCGGTAAACCTGCACTTGGGCTCCTCAGTGTCCGTTAGAGAGAGCTTCTGCCATGGGACAGAATATGAAGACAGTGTGACTCCTTAGCTTTCTCCTGCTTTTGTTTCTGTTCAGTGGACCTAGAGCCTGGCTTCATGCTGTGGCAGAGGTGGCACATCTCAGGAGTGTCATTCTTATCCTGGTTGGAATCTGGGCCTCCTGGACCAAATCTTGTCCCTAGCCTCTCCCTATCCCAGCTGCTGCTTCTGTGAACTGAATAGCAATACCACTGACCCCCTGGGTTAGGGAGCACATGAAAGTGTGGAGCACTGAGCTTGGTACCCACTGAGCACTCAGTGAAGGAGTCCTGTTGTGTTTTCCTGTTGGTCAGCTTTCATGCTGCTAAGAGCGAATACCACACTTTAAAGGCGCAAGGTTTTCTTTCCCTCAGTTTCAGGGATTCAGTGCATGGTGAGCATCATGGTGGAGGAGTGTGGGATAACAAAGCTGTTTAGTTCCAGGCAGCCAGGAAGTGGGCCAGAAATAGCAGCAGAGAGGAAGGGGCAAGGGCCAAGGTTATTTCTCCAAGACTCTCCTAGAAACACCCACAGTGTGCCTCACTAGTACTTCAGGCAGCCCCCAAACCAATCGAATTGACAATTGAACTTACTCATTATACCTAAAGACCAATATTAGGAAATCCTTCAGGCTCTCCTGGAATCAGGCAATCAGGCAGGCAGTTTCTTCAGTAAGATTACTAAAGCCTGCTGGCCTGGATAAAATGTTGGGAGAGGCTCGCATATGCATGTTCCTATGCATAAGAAACACCACAGTGCCTCTTTTGCATGCAGTATGACTGTTCTGGCGGTCAGAGAGCCACAAAGTACAGGTCCTCATGAGCAGCTTCAGAGAATCCCATCAAGGCCCATGCCAGAAGAGTCACCTAGGGAGAGGCTAAGTCAGCCCCACTCGTGATACCCGCATCCTGCACTGTGGTAAGAGATGGTCTCTATTCATCCCGGGCTGCTCTGTACTCCTTTCCTTACTGTTATGAGCTCCAAATGCAAAGCAATGTTATTAAAGTGCAGAGTTTCCAAGACACAAAAAGTAACTGCACTGGCTACCAGCCTTACCTTCAACACTAGCTTCAGAGACTCAAGAGGTGGTCTGGTGGTGGTCAGTAGCAGAGGGACAGTCCAGGATCTGTCCTCCCTGTGCCCAAATGCTTTGCAGAGACATATCAAATGGATACAGTTGTTCTGTCTGGCTGCCTTTCTGGTCACAGGGTGCCCGAGAGATGTTGGCAGGCCAGGAAGGTCCTGGGGCTGCAGGAATGAAGGAGAGTGAGCTCGTTCTTGAGGCTTCCCCACGGCCTACTGCCCTTGGCTGTGCCTGACCTGGGCCTGCTGTCCTCTCTGATCCCCCTCCAGGTCTGCACAGCCTTCCCTGCAGAGTATGCTAAGTATGGCCACGTCAAGATGCACCACGGCTACACCAATGTGGTGGGTCTGGGGGACTCGAGCACGTGGAAGCTGCCCTGCCTCAACCGTTACGTCTATATGTTCCTCGCACCCTTTTTAATCCCCATTGTTACCCCTCTGGTGGCTCTCGGTGAGTATTGCCAATGCCTGAGTCTGAGGACCCTGCAAAAACCCGCTCCCAGCCCCTCCTTCCCTCTCCTAGCTTCATGGGAGACTTTCTCACAGGGCCAGGCAGGGTGGAAAGAGCCCCAAGGCGATCCAAGTCTGGCTGTGTCACTTACTCGCCAGTGATTGTGTGTGGGTAACTTGACCTCAGTGTGTACTTGACCTCCAGAGTGGTGTAAACGTATAATGAGGCCATAGACTTAAGAATGTGAATCTTTTAGAGCTTCCAGTTATAACAAACAGCCGTCCGTGGTGTGTGTGCCACAGGTTCGCCCCCACTGGCTTAGTAGATGGCTTGCAGAAATCACACCACATGTTGTAACTGTTGACATAATGGGAGCAGTGCCTTGGGGTGGCAGGAACAGGGTGTGGGGCAGGTCTTGAAGGCAGCTGGGTTGCTTAGTGGCTCTGTTTCTCCATCCGTACAATGGGTAAACACACTTCTGAGGGATGCCGTGTGGATTCACTGAATACTCGCACATCGCTACCTTAGCATCCTTGGCCACTGGGGAGCCAGTTCAGGATGGCTGCAACCCTCACCCCTGCCCCTCACTCTGAATCTTGCTCCCTTGGCAGAGCGGCTGAGGAAGGTGGGGCTGAGGTCAGCTCTGCAGACACTGGGCCTGATTTCCCTGGGCCTCTATTTCCACTACTGGCTGCTCCTCCACGTGTCAGGCTTCAAGAGCCCCGGCTCCGCCCTGGCCTGCATGCTGCTCACCAGGTCTCTGCTGGCCCACCCCTACCTCCACGTCAACATCTTCCAGGTGAGGCCTACCACTAGGCGCTTGGGCTGCAAAGCGGAGCGTTCTGCAGGGTGCCTGACTGCACGCCGGACCGAGGGCTGTGTGGGAGACAGGCCACCTGGGGAGGGGCCCCTCCTTGGCCATGCCATGACTCTGAGTCATCTCACACAGACCTTGGGTTGCAGGCGAGACCCTGGCCTCTCCTCAGTGCCACTGTGCTTCCACCTGTGTGAGGATGCCCAAGTGAAGTGAGGGGCTAGGTGGTGTCACGAGGCAGGCAGAGGAAGCCACAGGAGATGGAGGCAGGGGACTTTGTGGGAGGTCAGGGGCTCACACCCTGTTCCGGTGCTGTTCCCACAGGGCTGCCGCCTGCTCTCTGCTCAGTGCGCATGCCAGGTTACAGCTCCCAGCCTGGTACTCAGCACAAGTGCTGCTTATCACTTAAACTCACAATCGCATCCTGTCTCCTTGACCCACTTGAAGGGTAGTTTCCTGGTCACTTCCAACTCCCCTAGATCCAGCACCATGCCTGGCAGAAGCACCTGGCTGGACTTACTTGTTCAGTGAAAAACTACCAGAGGTTGCTGACTTGATCTGGAGTGACCAGTAAGGTTTTGAATGCTAGGAGATCAGAGAGGGTCTCTCCAGGAAAAGGCCAAGGCATAGCACCATAAGAACAGATGGGAGGTAATCAGGGCTGTTGAGTATCAGGAACCCAAGGGGTGCCCAGGAAAGTCTCCTGTTGTCCAGATGGGGAAAGAGGCCAAGAGATAGGCAAGACTCAGCTCAGGACACAGACTGGGCCAGCATCTGAGGGAGACCAGGAGCCTCGGTCCCTTACCCCTCTGCCAGGTCCTGCTGGAGCAGGATTTGGGGGCCAGAGGCACTACTGAGCCCCTACTTAGTGAGCACACCTGGGGCCGGTAAGGCCCAGGGCTGCCTGGCCCCCAGAGTGAGCCTTGTGTCCATCACAGCACATTGGGCTCCCCATGTTCTCCCTGGACAAGAAGCCCCGGCGGATTCACATGATGAGTCTGGGCGTACTGAACCTACCCCGGCTGCCGGTGCTGGACTGGGCATTTGGTCACTCGCTCATCAGCTGCCACATAGAGCACCACCTCTTCCCTACGCTCTCTGACAACATGTGCCTGAAGGTAAATAAGGAGTGGGACAGCGGGGGACAGCGAGAACTCTGAGCTCCCGGACCCTGGCCCGGTCACAGGTCACACTGGAGAGCAGCTTGGAGTGTCTTGTAGCAGTGTGGGTTTTAGATCAGAGACACTCAGGTTTCTTACTAGCAGTGAACCACTGGACACGTTTACTGAGCCTCCGTTTCCCTGTCTGTAAGACTGAAGGATACATAGCTTACTATGAGGACAAAGAAATACATAGATCTCAAGTGCTGGACATGGAGTTTGGCAAGGAAGCTGCCCTTCTCATTCCCCTGTGCCAAAGGAGCTGTCATGCAGCAGGAGGCCTTGGGGACGTGGGGTGGGCACGGGGCCCTGAGTTTTCTTACCTGCCGTAGGGTTAGGGGAGGCAAGAGTTCCTCGGTACCTCAGCTCACCCCAGCATCCAGGGACAAAACAGATAAGAACTGGGGCTGGGAAGATGGTCCCTCACCACCACATAAACAGCGCATGAGAGTTGCAGCTCATAGGCTTCTCCCCCTTCCGTCTGTCCCCATCAGGTGAAGCCCGTGGTGTCCAAGTTCCTCCAGGAGAAGCAGCTGCCATACAATGAGGACTCCTACCTGGCTCGCTTCTGGCTGTTTTTCGATCGCTACGAGGAGTTCATGGTGCAGGCCCCGTCCATCACGGAGCTGGTGGGGCTGCAGTGAGGCTGAGCTCCAGTCCGGGCCCAGCCCTGGCCCTGCTGCTGCCCCTGGCCCCAGGGCTGTGGTGCGGTGACAGGTCACGGACCTGAGCATAGAGGCCTTGGGCAGGCAGCCAGACAGCCAGCTTATGCTCTTTGCTCTTCTGGGATCCAAGGAGTGTTTGTGGGAAGGGAATAATGGCAGCCGAGCTCCATGGCCAGTCTGGGTTTCAGCGGGCTCCTTCTCAGAGTGCCTCCCTCTGTCCATCTGAACCTGAAGGGGGTTGGGGCTGGGAGACTGAGGCAGCTTCTGGTTTTTTTGCCCCGGCCATCTGAGACTGGAGGAAGCATCAGCCCCTTGGGCTGGGGCCTTTCTGATGCAGGCCCAGCCACTGTTACTTCCTGCACTGTTTGAAGCCCCGCCCACCCCCAGAGCCCTCTCCCCAGGCACACAGGTCCAGTCACTTTTGGCAAAACCCAAGCTTGTGCACGACACAGGCTCTGCAGTTTCCAGGGCCGTGGTCTCAGCGGGATAAACGTGTGTTTTGTGGGGTGAAGTGGGGGGAGGTAGTACCTCAGGGATGGCGCTGGGGAAAGAGTATACATAGCTTTAGGCTTGACCTTGGCTAGTTGTAGAAAAGTGCTCTGTTCCATGATGTTTAGGAGTAGTGAACCAGGGAGAGAAAATTATGGGAAGTAGCTGGAGTTGGAGGCAGTTACAGAAACTGGGTCTGCAGAGATCACTTTAGGAGAGAGAGGAGGGGGAGGGCAGGCTAAGAAAGAAAAGCCAAGGATACCTCGGCAGTGAAAGTCTGTAGCCTGGGTGTGAGGTGGGGCTGGAAGGGAGCTGCTGATGCCAGCCCTAGGCAGAGGCCAAGGCGGGGGGTGGGGGGGGCAACACTGACACTGAGCCCAGAGTAGGCGGAGTGGAGAGGCTGGAGCTGAGAGGGTGCAAGGGAGTCTCTGGGTGAAGGTTAGGGAAGGAGCAGAGAGGCCAGGCCTGGACAGGAGGCCACAGCAGGCAGGACAGGACTTCTCACCCATCGCTGCTTTTTTTTTTGAAGAAAAAAAACCCTAAAATTTCAAAACAATAGGGGTAACAAGGGTTAGTACACTGCATATTATCTTTGAATTAAGAGTACAAGATATAGGTATTTAATTGTCCAAGCAATATTAGCACAAACCTTTTCTTCAATGAACTAAGAGAACGATCTTAACTATCATAGATCTACCTGTCCATATATATATTTGTTTTGCTTTTCCCATCTTCTTCTTCTTCCTCTCATCCCAGTTTCTCTTTCCTTTTGAATAGCTTCTTCCCATTTTACAAAACCTATTGGACATTTTGGATCTTTTTCTTCTAAACTGGGAACTGAACTCAGGACCTAATGCTTGCCAGGCAGGCACTGTGCCACTGAGCTATATCCCTGGCCCACATTTTGGATCTTCCTCTTTCAGCTTTTCACACTAGGGAGACAATACAGTGTTTACACATGTGAGTCTAGTTTATTTCACTTATGAGTACGGTCTTGAGTTGTATTCACTTGCCTGTAAGGCTTCAGTTTATCCTTCTTTATGGCCGAATAGTACTCCATTGTATAAAAAGACCACATCCTTTTTATTCATTGTTTGGTTGATGTTACCCAACGCTGTTGACATTTTATCTACATTTTTTTTGTTTTTTGTTGTCCTATATATCATAGGATGTTTAGTCATGCTCCTGGTTTCTGGAGCCCAAGTTTTAACAATCAAAAATGTCCCCAGACATAGGCAAATGTCCCTGAGAGGGTCAAAATCATTCCTGAGAACTTATAGGTCATTTTTCTGGGTTTATAATTGCCTTGTTTCTCAGTTAAAGCTTTGGATGGAGTGAAGGGCATGTTGATCCGGGTGAAGGGAAGCTAAATGGTAACAAACGGGAGCCCTTGAAATGGTGAAGGAGGTAGATAACAAGACCTAGGCAGAAGCCAGTGAAGCCATTCTCAAGAGGCCAGTGCTCAGTGTGTCCCTCCAGACCCTCCCCAACCCTGTCTACGCCCTACCCCCCTCTCGCAGAGACCATAGCTCCTTCCACCAGCACCCTCTTCCAGCTGAGTTCCCAAATAACTCCCTCCTTGGGCTCCCTCACGGCCTGGCCTGGCAGTGGCTTCCAGCTGATGCTGCACCCTGGATGTGTCCTTGTTCCCGTAATCCTGCTCCACCTCTGCATAGAGCCTCCCCTGTGTGCCATCTGGGAGGCTCACTATGCAGCAGAGTTTTGGATCTGAGCAGCTCTTGGAACAGAGCTGAGGTAGCCTGGCAGCCTCCCCAGCCCACTGCTTTGCTGTATGTTATTGCTGCTCTTTTGAAATGCATCAGTAGCTGAAATGGTCTTATGGTCTGGGAGTGTAATTCATCAAACTGCTGATTCTCCATATACAAAAATGCAATGGCAGAAAAAGGTCCTGTGCGTATTCCAGGCTAATGATTAAAACCATGAAAATATACAACCAGTGACTTGCTATTGATCTGGACCTGAAAGTGTCTGGGCAGCAGCTGGGAGCCCTGCTGCTAAATCTAAGTGTAGCATGATCACCCCCCCCCCAACAAATCAGCTTGGTTTCTTTGATTTTCTGTTACTCAGAATACCTGGGGTTTGAGAGATGAGGTAGGGTGACAGCAGCAAATAGTGTTTTTAAGGCTCTACAGAGATCTAAAGTCTAACTTAAAGAGTTGTATGGAGGTGACAATATTGATAATGATGGCTAACATTTATTTACCACAAATGGCAGGTATTTTGACCTACTTCGTCTAATTTTAAAACCAGTTACTTCCGTTTTCTTCATACTACACATGGCAAAAAGGGAGGCGGCATGGGGAGATCAAACTTCTCAGTGTCACATAGCTACTAAGTGGCAGAAGAGGGATTTGAACTCAGAATCCACACTCTCACCTACCAGACATACTGCCTCTGGATGGGAAGCCCTATAGAGCTCCTGAGTGTCAGATCTTGAATTTCCATCTCTTGTGTGAAAAGATAATTGATAGATTCTGCTACCCTGGTGCTTAACTATCTGAAAGGTGACATCTGCCCAACTTGGCACCGACGCTCTCTCTCCAAGAGTAGCTAGTACATCCTCCTCCTCATTCCAGAGATAAGCCTCCCACTGCCTTGTGTGTGTGCACTGAGCCTTTTCCAATCCCAAGACTCTCCCAACACCCACGCCTCCACCCCCAGCCCCAGGAAATCTTTGTTTCCTGTTTTATGCTTGCAGATGCCCCTTCAAATCAGTTGTTAATGTGTTATTTTGCCCACCTCCAAAACTCCTCCCCCAGCCAAAACTAATACAAGTAATTTCATTTCTTTGTTCTGAGAACCTCCTTGCACTCCTTGGCAGCTCTCTGGTGCCCACATTAAAGGCCTTTCTACTCGTCTCCCTTTTTCTTCTGTGTCACCTCAGATTGAGTGCCAAAAATAATCAATGACTTTATCATAAATACAAATTCATTCTCTTTCTGCCCTTCCCTCCTTCTCTGCAGTATGTGAGTTAAATTTAGGGCCTTTGCACTAAACTATATTCCCACCCCTTTTTGCTTATTTTGAGATGGGGTCTTACTAACTTGCCCAGGAAGGGTTTCAATCTTTTACCTCCTGCCTCAGCCTCCCAAGTGCTGAGATTGCAGTGTGTACCACTGGATCCAGCTTAAGTACTTTATTTAAAAAAAAATTTTTTTTACTAAATTGCTAAATTGCCCAGGCTGAGCTCCAATTTGTGATCTTTCTACCTCAGTCAGTTTAAGTGATGGCATTACAGATGTACACTGCCATCCCTGGCTCAAGACAAATTCTTAGTGAACATCCACTGGGGTCCGGACAGAATGCAATGTCTTGGGCAATGAGTGAATAGGATTGGGCCCCCACCTTGTGGATTTTACAGCCCAGTGCAAGGATTGCCAAGTTCTTTCTGTAGACAATTTGGCAGTAAATATTTTCAGTTTTGCAGATCAAACAGACTCTGCCACTCAAGTACTCAGTTATGCTATCAAAGCATTAAAACAGCCATAGATTGCTATGTCCTGCACAGCTCTTAAAATTGGTGTGTGGGGGCGCGACAGTGAGAGGATAGAGAAATAAAGGTAAGAGACAACATACAGAGAGCTGAGATCTGGTAGAGCCCTTCTCTCTGGATGGGAGGAAAAGAACTGCTCAGGGGCTGCAATGTGTTTATTTACACATTTGTCAAGTGACACCCCTTTGCTTAACTCCCTGGCCTCTTACTCCCATCCCCGACCCCCCATTCTAGGAGTTCTGGAACACCTGTGTGCCTGGGGCACTCCATCCCCTCAGGGTGTTGCTCAGGTACTTTGTGTGCTCAGCTCCTAAACAATCACCAGCTCGGCTGTTCCTGACACTAGACAACATGGTTGTGTTCCAGTCAAATTTTTTTCACGAACACTGAAATTTAAATTTCATAGACTTTTCATGTCACGTTTTTGTATGTTTGCTTAAGAGAGGGTCTCACTATATAGTCCCGGCTGGCCTCAAACATTTGCTTTTCCTGTCTTAGCCTCTCAAGTGCTTCAATTATTGTTACACCCATCTGTTAGATGTCAAATGTGCTGAGTTTGTGGTCTCAGATCATCAGGGAATGAAGCTGTGAATCAAAGGAAGTTAGAGTTTTATTGGAAATAAGGAGAGAAGAATAGCTCTTGGATTTCCAGGAGGAATTCCAAATGGGGTGGCCTTTGAGGTCCTTTGTCAGGGATAGCTTACACCGCAAAGTCACAATGTGGGTACTATGTGGGTCAAACTATAACCTATATGATTATACATATAGCTGCTTAGCCAATATTGATCAAATAGGGAAACGGGTCATATAGCAAGGGTATATGGAAAGAATAAAATCATTTTTGGAAAGGGATGGATCCAGATGTCCTGGTCACCCACCTTGGGTACTGATGCCTAGTTGGATTTACTGGAGCAGGTGGTGCTAATCACAATATAATCTTGTGATTGTCTATCCCTTAGGGAGGTATGTAGGCCTAGGCATTGCATCTTTATTTTGAGGCCCAATCTTCTTTAGATAGGCCTCCTGTTGGGGGTCTGTACCTAGATCCCCCCAAATGGGTGCACGGCAAAGTCTCAAAGGAATGAGACATGTGGCATGGTCTTTAGATCTGCAGGAGTAAAATCCTCAGCAGAGCTCATAACTGCTAGCCAGCCAGCAGATTGATGCTGGGCAGCCGTATTTAATCAGAACAAGCAAGGAGCTGAGCAGACAATGGAGGAAACCTGATCAGGATTTCGGGAACAGAGCAACAGAGGATGCTAATTAAGGAAAACTATCCAGAAAAAAATCTCTAGGAGGCCTCAGCTGTGGCCTATCTTGCTCCCTGAGATGTCTCTTCATTCTCAGTTCAATCACGCCCAGGCCATGCCACAGCCCTGCACGTGTATTCAGTTTCAATGCTCTCCAACAGCCTCCAGCCACAGTTCTGATGTCTGTATTTTTGTGCTGACTTCCTTCAGAGCTTAGTCCTTCTCTGGCTGTATATTCCTCTCTGTCTAACTCAGCTGCCTATAACAGGATTACAGGTGTGCCCCACCATGCCCTACTCATGCCTTAACATAAAATATTCTGTTTGCCATTAAAAAATATAAAAACCCATCTTGTGAGTTGTGCAAAACAAGCTCGTGGGCAGCATTTGTCTTGCAAGCCATCCTTAGCCTACTCTTGGTTCTGTAGCACAGGTATGAAACACGAAGGCATTTAGACAGCAAAACAGCGTTTATTTCTCAGTAGAAGTGACTAGTAGGGCACAGGGGACTCCTGGGATGCTAGGGATGTTCTGTTTCTCCGTCTGGGTGGTGATTCTGTTATTACATCTTATCAGTTGTACAGTATGATTTGTGAACCATTTATGTTATACCTCACTTTTTAAAAAAACTACTAAAAAATGAAAGTAATTAAGATGTTTTAAGCACATGTATCAACTCTTCATGACTGTATTATGTATTGCAAACATACTAATAAAAATTTTAAAATAATAGAATATTTTTAAGTGACAAGGAATGTAACAAATGTTAAACATCACAGGAGGCCATTGTTTTGGCCGAAACTATTGAACTAGGCCTCAATAGGCCAGAATAAAAATTAAAATAGAGTCACTCACCTTAAAGTTGATCAAACTGAAACTGAGCCATTTATTGGACATTCTGAGAAATCAGCCAATTTCCTGGGCAGGCTAGTTTCAATTGGAACAACAGCATTCTCTCTGCTTTAATCCTTACACAAAAGAAGTAACCTGAGACAACCTGATGTTACCTAAGTAGTTATTGTCCTGTTATTCTGCTGTCCCTTCTCCCTATCTCACAAGAAATCTCAATCTTTTTGTTTTCCTTTCATCAAGCCCTTGTCTATAAAATCAACCACCTTCACTAAGACCAACCATCAGCTTTTTAAATTCTGTTTTACAGAATTGTATTGTCCAAGTCTAGAATAAAAAATAAAGCCAGGGGTCGAGGATGTAGCTCAGTGGTAAAACTGAGTGAATAGTATATGTGAGGCTTCCCAAAAAGCTAATTTAAGATAAGCTAAATTGTTGCGATTTTCCCCTTTGATATAATAAGGTAAGGTCGGGTACTGTGGGCGTGACAGGCCCCTAGTTCCTTACACCCTGAAACAGGATGGGTCAAAGGTTTCTCCAAGAAATTAAATATCTGGCAAGACGTCTTGGGGAAAAAGGGAAGAGGCATTAGACGTATCACAAGTGAATAGAAATCCTGTACTTACTACTTTTAAAATTTGGGGCATTAATTTTTATCTTTTACGACGGGCGCACAAGAATATATATTATTTTTCTTGACTACTGAATTTCTGGCGACCCCTGAATCCTGCGCCCGAGGCGAGTGTCTTAAGACGTCCTGGATAAGGGTCGGGGGTCGAGCCCTGTTCTTAGTCCCTGGGCAATCCACCCCACTTTTCTCACCTGTAATGAGGGAAGGAGGAGAAGCGAGAAAAGATTTCCAGTGTATAATATTCTCTCTGGCCCGACACAGACAGCATCTTGCTGGAACCACATCAACACAGCACACGAGGATGTAGAAATTGTAAGGGAAGAGTCGGGACAGTCTCTCCACATTTCCGGACTCTAGGGATATTACGCAACAGGCAGGGAGGTGCCCTTTAGAGACTGACTTCTGATTGGCTGGAGTGAAGCAACGCAAGCACTGGGATAGGCTATCAAAAGGTAAAGGGCTATTTTGTCATTAGTAAGCGACAGGAACTAATGAGAGGCTAAATAAACTCCTTTCTAATTGGTTCCCTTCTTCACGAGAGACTGAAGAAGCGATGGAGATTCGCTCTTCTCCAACTCTAGTGTTCCGGTGTTTGGAGGAAGAGTGAAGTCTCGAGAAATTCTCTCAGGACCCGGAAGTTCTGGGAGGCGGAGCTTTGGAAGTAAAGGATCGTTCTAAAGGCGGACCTCTCTCTTGGGGGCGGGATTTTTCGAGGTTGTCTCAGAGCAAGGGGCGGGGCTTTGAGGCGGGACTATGGTTGTGGGCGGGTCCATAAACCAGGTGAGGGCGGAGTAAAGCCAGGGTCCAAGCCGTGCGGAACCCCGGGCCGAGCCTTGCGGAATCCGGAGCCGTGACTGGGATCCCTTGTTGGTCGCTGTTCCCAGCCATGGCTCCGCGCTGCTGGCGCTGGGTGCGCTCGTCGGTGTGGTCTCGAACCCGGCCGCCTCCCGCTAGGAGCACCCGAGGTAAGAGAGGCCACTTCAGACTGGGTAGGAGCGCGGGGAGGCCTGTGAGCGCTAAATCAAGGGAGTCAGTGGAGCTGGGGCTTGGCCGGAGAGGGGCAAGGCTGGGAGGGTGCACGATATTCATGAGGACGAGTTGGGGTGGTGTAGGGGTGAGATGTGAGGTCTCTAGGCTGATGCAGATCAGCAAAGGTGGAAAGAGATAGTGAAGACTGTGTGTGAGATGAGGTGAATGGGACAACAGTCTGTGGACAGTAGGGACGTCGGAGGCCAACCGAGTCTGTGTGAGCAATGTTGGATTCTGCAGAGAGGGTTTAGAAGAGACAAGATGGGGCATTGTGGCGAGACTCACAGGGGTTGGGATGATAAGCAGCCTGTGGGAAGATGTGGAATAACAGCGGATTGGATGGGGAACCCCCCAAAGAAACTAAAGATAAGTCTTGTAGGACCCTGAGGCTCCTGGTCAGGCCATCAGTGGCAGTGGAGTGGGTTCATGGATGAAGTTTAGGCTCTGAATGAAGGCCAAACCTTCAGGGGTTCAGATGAAGTAAGGGACCCTGCAAATGCCAAAGCTTTGAGGAATGAGAGAAGGAAGGTACAGGTCGGGTGACACTTTGTGAACTTCATCTCCTGTTGGACGCTGGAGGTGGTTTGGGACTGGGGAGTGTTGATTTGATCTTGCCCCCCTCCTCTGTCCAGCCCCAGTCTTTTGCCAGTGGTTCTCCTCTCAGACGACCCCACAGATCTGTGTTGTAGGAAGTGGCCCAGCTGGCTTCTACACAGCCCAACACTTGCTAAAGGTAAGCCACTTCCTCCAGCTTCCTTCCCTCTCATTCACTGGTTGCTCCAATCCTAAGGCCAAGCCCCATGGTGAGATGAGAAAGAGGCGTCCATCCCGCCTAGCTGCACACTTCCTGCCTACCTCCTCACCAGCTCCTGAGCTCCCACTGTGTTTGCCCCCCAGTGGGTGCTCAGTGGCAGAAAGGCAGCTCTACTCTCTTAGCCAAGCAGTCCAGGCAGCTTCTGCAGACCTGCAGGATGATTTTGCTGTTTCTATCCTCCTTTCTCCTGTCTCCAGCGCCCTACATCTTGAGGCTAGCCTTCTAGCTTTCTGTAGTTTACCTTCCCCCACAGATCCCCCAACCTCCTTCCTTCCCCATTAAAGGCCATGGTCTCAAAATGTGCAATTTTGGCCTTGGCAAGCAGATAGTCAGGGCCCCAAGGCTGCCAGATATACTCAGATCTTGCGAAGGAGGGGGTGGAGGAGACCAAGGTTGACAGAGATGAGGCAGCAGCCTAGCTTTGGAACAGCTTGGAGTATCTGGAGGGACCGAAGAATGAATTAATATATAATTATACACACATGGAGGTACTGAAGGATGGCATAACCCACTGTCCTGGCTCACCTGAAACATGGAGCTTTTAGTGCTGAATCTAGGAAGGTTTCATAGAGACAGGGATGGGTTGGTCACTGTTGAAAAGTAACATATGAACACCTCCCAAGCAGTATAAGTAACAGAGCTAATTATAATGATGCAGGCAGGGTGAGCTGAGTCTGGAGGAGATGAATGCGAAGCTATTTTCTGGAGAAAGTGCACTTAAAGGCCATAGGTTTGGCAAGGGCCTCTCTTTTGTTGGGAGTCAGCCTGAATGCAAGGCCCCAGACGTGGGAAGTCAGCCTGGCCTTTGGGAAGGAGGCCCTGGAAGGTCCTGTGTTTTGGGAGAGGGAGAGAGCAGGCCTTCCGGCATGATTCTTGATGCTCCCCTGCAGGTAAGACACTGGCCTGTTCTTTCCCTGGGGGCTTGGCCAGGCTAAGCATGGCCCCCGAGACCAGTTATGAGTTGATTGTTTCCACCAGGAGCTCCAAGCTATGGGCACATTTGGGGCAGCACTGTTTAGCTGGAGTTTGGCACTGAGTACTGTCTCATAGCCTCTTCGTGCTGTGGTATCATGACACTCACAGGTGAAGACACAAAGATGGAGGGAGATCTGACTGAGGTCTCACCACTGAGCAGGGAAGGCACTGGGATCTGATCTAGGCTGTTTGGTTATCATCACCCAGTAGTCACTCACCGGACACCAACGTGGTCCAGGCACAACCTGCTCTAGGAGCACGGGGTGAGGAGGACAGATGTGGTCCCTAGGCTTAAAGGCCTCACATTCCAGTGTGAGGGGAAGATTATCCATTTACAAGATTATCCATTCACCCTGGGGGTGCAGGGAGGGGTGCCTAACCCAGAGGGAGAGAAATTGCAGTTGGAAGGATGTTGAAGATGTCAGGTCAGGGTAGAATGGCAGGAATGTCCCAGGCACAGAACCCAATGGCTAAGGGCCAGAGAAGGGAGAGAGTGGCCTTCCAAGGAAGGGCAAGCCTCAGAAGGCAGGTGTGCACAGGAGGGGTGGAGAGTGAAAGCTAGGCTTGGGGAGAAGTAGGACCCAGATCCAGGGGCTTGGAAGCCACTAACCAGGCTGTGGACTTGGGTGGCTTTCTCAGGATGCTGTCCAACACCACTCCTCCTATCAGAGTCCCCCAGGAGACCTAGTAAACATTTCTGGCAAGGTATGGAGGCCCATGTGTTTAAGCCCAGTTACCAAGGGAGGCTGATGCAGGAGAATCAAAAGTTCAAGGCCAACCTAAAATAACAACAAAATAAATAAAACATTTCTGGGCCCAGCCCACATTTAGTGTAACTCTGGGAACTTTAAACTAGTACCCCAAGAGATTCCGATACCCACTGCTGTAGGCAAATGGCTTCCTTGAAGAGTTTTAGGTAAGACCCAAGACATTTCCCCACCTTTTTTTCAGTGCTGGAGATGGAACCCAGGGCCTGGCACATATTAGACCAGTGCTGTAACTCTAAGGACCACATTTGTAAAATTTGGAGTGTTCTGTCTGCCTGGTAGACACAGCCAGGCTGGTGGCCTGGAGGTCAGTGGGTAGGGGGAGCGTGAAGAGGTGAGTTCCGTGGGGTAGGATGGGGATGGGTGAGCAAGGTTCTGGCTCCAGCTCTAAGTGAAATGGGGGAAGAGGTTTGGGGGGCAAGGCCTTGGTTTGATCTGAATAGATTCAAGATGGCTGGGTAACGATGTCCTGGGGTCTCAGGTTTGAAGCTTGGGGACAGACGTGGATGGGAGGAGGGACAGAGACAGAGACAGAGAATACAGGAAAAGAGACCTGAGAAGGAACAGCTGAGAAGGAAGGAGGGGAGGGAAGGAGGTGGTTTCTCAGAACAGGAAGTCAGTAAGTGATCTAAAGGATGTGATGTATGGAGGTGGCCTTGGATGGAGCCTCGTGACATAGCAGGAAAGAATGAAAGATAAAGGCAGCAAGGTCAGCTTGCACTGGGAACTGACGGCTTGCTGAGCAGTTGGATCTTTGTCCTACAGCAAGGAAAAGTTTTAAAGCAAGAAAGTGAGATGGTTTTTCCAAGACCAGGAATAAGCCCATTGTCACCTCCCCTTGTTGCAATTTGATGATCTTGGAGACGAGAGCTAAGGCAGGCTGGCCTTTCAAAGGGTGGCTTACAGGTGATCAGCCCTGCTGGGCCTTTCTAGAAAATGTGGAAGAGTTGGAGGGCAGGGCTGTGGGCCATGTCTACCCTGAGGAGATGAAGCTCCCCTGACACCCAGGTCCAGTGGCAGAGAATTGTGATGCTCTTTCCCTGGCCAGGTTCCTCACATTCTCACGGCTGGTAGTGCTTCTTGAGTCTGACCTCAGCTCCTGCTGCTGCTGGGGCTACCCCTTATCTGGCTGCCTGGGCAGCTGGGGATCGAGGCACTCTGTGTCCCCACCCCACTGCTCTATCTGTAGAAGAGAGGCCCCCAGCAGCTCTGCCCTCTCCCCCAGCACCACACCCGGGCCCAAGTGGACATCTACGAGAAGCAGCTCGTGCCTTTCGGCTTGGTGCGCTTTGGGGTGGCACCTGACCACCCTGAGGTGAAGGTGGGTCCCTCTGGGGGCACAGAAGGTGGGTCCCTCTGGGGGCACAATAGCTTGGTACTATTGGTCAAAATGAGGGTAGGTGGTTCCCTGCTTGGGTAGAATGACCCCAGGGCACTGTGGGATAAGGGAGGAGGGTGGCCCTGACGTGGTCTCTGGACCATCCCCACCCTCTGACCCTCCATCCTGTGGGTCTACCCCGAAGAATGTCATCAACACATTTACCCAGACGGCCCACTCTGAGCGCTGTGCCTTCCGGGGCAATGTGGCAGTGGGCAGGGATGTGATGGTGTCAGAGCTGCGGGAGGCCTACCATGCTGTGGTGCTGGTGAGTACAGATGACAGAAGTTGCTGGAAGGGGATGCTAGAAGCCAGGAGGGACTGAGCACCAGTCCGCCATGCAAGCGCTGACACTCCGGGCTTGCGCTTTCCTCAGAGCTATGGGGCAGAGGACCACCGGGTCCTGGGGATCCCCGGCGAGGAGCTCCATGGCGTGTGCTCAGCTCGGGCCTTCGTGGGCTGGTACAATGGGCTTCCTGAGAACCAAGGGGTGAGTCTGAGGAGCGCTCCTGCTTCCTCCCCCTCCCCACTCCTCTGCCAGAGAGGGTAGAAGAGGCAGTGAGGAGAGAGAGAGAGAGAGAGAGGAAGAGATGGATATAGGGCCTACTGCGGCTGGAGATCAGCCACAAAGGGCCTCTGGGCTGGGGCTGGGCAGGTGGGCATGGATGGGTCAGGGAGGGTGGCTTCACCAGGGAGGGGATGGCCAGGACCAGGCACAGGACACTGGCAGACAGGATTAGGCTGATGGGAGCTCAAGCTGCAGATCTGTCAGGACCTTTCTCCTCCAGCTGACACCGGACCTGAGCTGTGACACTGCTGTGATTCTGGGACAGGGGAACGTGGCTCTGGATGTGGCCCGCATCCTGCTGACCCCCCCTGAGCACCTGGAGGTGAGTGGTAGGTTGGGAGCTGGAGGCAGGCTTACCTCCACCTCCCCTGGCTCAGTTTCCCCAGGGTGCCAGGCCAGGCAGAGGCCTTCTGGAAGGCAGTGCTCTGAGCCTCAGCTCACACTGCGTCTTCCTGTACTCTGTCACTCCTGGGCCTCTTTGTGCCACAGGATCTTTACACACGCCATTCCTTCTGCTTGGAACATTCCTTCTTGGCTCCTGCTTATCTGACTGTTACTCCTTCTGCCAGGAAAGCCTGCTGGGCTGGGAAGGTCTGTTTTCATGTAGCAGAAACAGACTAACAGTCTACTACTTCCTGCGTGGCCCCTATAGCCTTACTCATGAATGAAATTCATTGAGTATCTCTTCACATGATAAGCAGTCTTCTGAGGGCCAGTACCATGTCTGTTTTGCTCACATAAACTGCCTTTTTCCCTTAGTCCATCTGCCCAGCACCAGGCATACCAGGCATGATCAGTAAATTCTTGCCTTGTGGAAGAATCAGAACACTTTGCTGCATTGGCAGCATTGTCCAGTCTGACCATAGGAGGGCAGTAATGCAGTTTTGGGCTGCAGGCCTTCTAGTTCAGGACTAAGGGTAGCAGTACCACTAAACGGAGAACAGTCCCTAGGTCATGTTCCATGCTTTCAAGGACTTCTTTTTATGCCAGAAAACAGACATCACAGAAGCTGCCCTAGGAGCGCTGAGGCAGAGTCGGGTGAAGACAGTGTGGATAGTGGGCAGGCGTGGGCCCCTGCAAGTGGCCTTCACCATTAAGGTACTGGTGTGGTGGGGGTGGTGGTGTGAGGTGTCCCAGGGAGAAGGTGTCCCCTTGGACCATGGAAGAGTAGATGGAAGGGGGAGCAGGCCCAGGGGCCCTGTGCCTTCCGTGCTGGTATCTTCGCCCAGGCTGGACTCGTGGGTTCAAGTGGGCAGTGTCCTGGGCCTGACCTCCTCCATCCTCCCTGGCCCACCACAAGGAGCTTCGGGAGATGATCCAGTTACCAGGAACCTGGCCCATTTTGCATCCCTCAGACTTCTTGGGCCTCCAGGAACAACTCAAGGGTGAGGGGCTCTGACCTGGCCCCCAGCTCCCAGGGAAGGGCTGGCCTAGGTCATAGGCAGCATGGGGAGGGCTTGCGAGCAGAGCAGGGACAGCCTGAGATGTTCTGTGTTGCTAACAGAGATCCCTCGTCCAAGGAAGCGACTGACGGAACTGCTGCTTCGTACAGCCACAGAGAAGCTGGGGGCAGAGGAGGCTGCCCGCCAGGCCTCGGCCTCCCGAGCCTGGGGCCTCCGCTTTTTCCGAAGCCCCCAGCAGGTACTGCCATCTGCAGATGGGCAGCGGGTGGCAGGCATCCGCCTGGCAGTTACCAGACTGGAGGTGAGTCTCCTGTTACCCAAAGACACCCCGTTCTCAGCCCTCGCCCATCCCAGCCTGGTGCTACCCACTCTTTCCCCAACAGGGTGTCGGTGAGGCCACCAGGGCAGTGCCCACAGGAGAGATAGAGGACCTCCCTTGTGGGCTGGTGCTGAGCAGCGTTGGATATAAGAGCCGTCCCATCGACCCCAGCGTACCCTTTGACCCGAAACTTGGGGTCATCCCCAATACAGAGGGCCGGGTTGTGGATGTACCAGGTGAGAGGAACAACAAAGCTGGCCACCTAGTCGTGGTGGGAGGCAGAAAGGCTGGTGGTCTTCGGGCCATTCATTTATTCTTTCCTCTAGTAACATATACTGAGCAGGCTCAGTCCCAGGATCCAGCCCACCCTCTTTCTGGTCCTAGGGGGAGTCCCCAGCCCAGCTGGAACATGTAGGACATATATCTGATTATTAAGTCATTCAGTAACTACTGAGACCAGCTCTGGGCTGGGGTTGGAGATAAGGCAATCCCTGTCATAGGAAGCTTCCAGTTTGATTAAGTACCCATGTGCCTGTTATTCATTCGTTAGGATTAATTCACTCATTAGAATTAATAGGTGAATTAATAATAGGAGCTGCTGAACCTGAGGTGCACAGCATTACTGTATAAGCAGGGACACTGGTAAAAACAGGTCAGGAAGACAGGTCCAGGTCCAGCACAGGTCCAGGACAGCAGCCAGTGGACATAAGGGCCCCAGCTGATGGGATCCGCTGTGAGACCCGGGTATATATCTGTGTGGACATGGGCACAGATTGGGGCAGGCTGGCCAGGCAGTGTGGTCACCTCTCTTTGTTGCCAGGCCTCTACTGCAGTGGCTGGGTGAAGACGGGACCCACAGGTGTCATTGCTACCACTATGACCAGCAGCTTCCTCACCAGCCAGGCGCTGCTGCAGGACCTGCAAGCTGGGCTGTTGCCCCTCGGCCCCAGGCCTGGCTACACGGCCATCCAGGCCCTGCTCAGCAGCCGAGGTCAGGACCCTGAGGCTGAGGGTCCGGGAGGCGGGGTGGGAGACTTTGGGAGTGGGAGGACAGTGCCAGAAAGGAGATGAAGGAGAAGGTGGTGGCATTGACTCATGTCCCCTCTGCTTCAGGAGTCCAGCCAATTTCTTTCTCAGACTGGGAGAAGCTGGATGCTGAGGAAGTGTCTCGAGGCCAGGGCTCTGGAAAGCCTCGGGAGAAGCTGGTGGATTGTCAGGAGATGCTTCGGCTGCTGGGGCGCTGAGCCTGGATCCCACCCGTCAGGGAAGGGAAGAGTGCCGTGCAGGTCCTGGGTCAGCCTGGGCTAGACGCTTCTCCAGTTTGGAGTCTCACTGCCTCCAATGAAGATGGTCGTCCTTGCCAGTGTGGGTCAGCCCAAGGAGGTGACCTTAAGAGAGGGAGGGGCAGAGGTGCGGGCTGGCCCTACCCCCTTGTACCTCTCTTCTGCTGGACTTTGCAGGGCCACTGGGCCTGGAGTGTGTTGGAAATAAAACAGCTGAAACCAAGGGTCATTGTTCGTGCACTTCTTTTGGGGCCCAGGTCACCTTCTGGCTGCAGCTTGCCTGTGGTCACCAGGTGGTGCTGCAGAGCCAGCTCCCCGAGTTGGATCTCTTGGAGGTTTGACTGGGGATTGGCAGGCAGGCCTGACAAGCACCACCCTCCCTCGCAGCTTTCTTGCCATGGCTTGCCTGTCGCTTGACCACATTACAGTCACCACTGACAGGTCCCCCATCCTGCCTGCTCCTATCCTGCACCCCTCTGCCTGGTGCCAATCAAAACGATTTGGAAAGAAAAGGGAAAAGCTGGGAGTGGAAAGCCTGGGTAGCGGCTTGCCCCCAGTCCCTCCCGGTGGCCTGGCAGGACTGGTGTGTGTCGCCACTCTGCCCTCCCAGTTCCTTCCTGTCTCCATCAGTTTCGGGCCAGATCCACAAGCCTTTTAAAAATAGTACCGCAATCTGTTGCAGTTTACAGTCGTGTGGCAGTCCCGAGACGCCGCCGCTCACTTTATAAACTGAAGGGTCCACGAAATGAACTGGCCCAAGGTCACAGAGCCAGTGAACCGAGACGGGAACCCAGGGCGCCCTCTGAGGTTCAACTTGATCTGGGGACATGCTGAAAACGGGAGAGGGGACCCGGACCTTCAGCCAGCAGGGAGGGGCCTGGAGGGGCGCGGGCGGCCGGCCGGGGCGGGGCGGAGGCGGCGGGCGGAGGCGGCGGGCGGTGGCGAGCGTTCCTCCAAACGGCTGGGAGCCCCGGAAGCCCTGGGAGCCCCAGGCACGCAGCCCAGTCCGGGACCTCGTAGTGTGCCCGGGGGGTCGTGGGCCGGGCGCGGGGACTGGCGGGACCCAGGCCCTGCGGTGCCGGCTTCGGGCGCCCGCCGAGCTGGGAGCGAGCGCGCTAGCGCGCCGGGCCGAGGCGCCCGGACATGCCCTGCGCGGGAGGCTGCCGGCGCGGGCTCTGGGCGCGGGCGCAGCGCCCCTTCCCTCCGGTGAGTGTGCCTGGGGGTGCTCGGCGAGCCTGGAGCACCAACTTCGCCGCCAACTTGGGGCTGGGCTGGGCGCCGCGCAGGGACAGGCGGCGCAGACAGACGCGGGACACCCAAGGAGAGTGTGGCCCGCGGAGCGAGCCGGGGGTGCGGTGGGGGACGGCGGGGTACCTGGGCCCTTGGGCACGCGGCCTGGGGTTTAGACCCCGGCAGGTGAAGGAGAGCAGGCGAGGAAGAGAGGCCGGGGAGACTGACGCACAGCGGACACGAGGGAAGGACGCAGACGAAGCGCCCGAGACTTTTGTCCGTGGGGTCGCTGAGGCCCCCTCCCTTCGCTGGGCAGGGGCGGTGTGGGGACGCGGGAGTCTAGGCTGCAGGTCCCCCAACTGTTGCTGTTGAAAGCTGCTGGGATGAGGAGCCGGTCGGAGGCCGCGACCCGAGCAGAGGCTGGGTTCGAACCGAGCCAGGGCAGCTGGAGGGGGCGCAGAGCAGCAGGGCGAAAGGGGGCTGCGGCCGCGGCCGGGGTCCCGGTTCCCTGGTTTCCTTGTGTCCTCTCGGCACCTGCTGCTTGCTTCTGCCATTCCGATGCCTTTAGCTGGCAGAGTCCCCAGACCCTCCCTGCCGGCTCCCCTTTCTCTCTGAGCCTCTTAAAAAGATCCCGCCTCTGACCTCCAGGAAATCACAGTGGGCTTCTGGCGGCGGGATCATCCACAGGCGGCCCCCAGCCCTGGTGGCCCCAGGCTTGGGAGGGCTGGAGCGATGGCATAGGCGGAGCAGGCTGGGGACAACCTGTGCCTCTGTGACCAGGGCCTAAGGCGGCTCCCTCTGTGTATCCTGTCCTGGGCTGGGACCAGAATCCCCCACAGCTGCCAGCCGAGACTGCTCCTCCTGCTGCGGGGACGTTTTGTGCCTAGGCCTCAGCAGGCAGGACTGGAATGCGACAGCAAAGGCGCCCAGGACTCTGAAATCCCCAAGGGTGCACCTGGTGACTCTTTGAAGTCTCTGCCTTGTGAGCGAGGGTGGAATTCCCGCTGGGCCTGACACTCGCCACCTTTGTCCACTCTGTTTCCCAGCTCTGCCCGCCCACTGGGGCTTCCGACCCTGTCCTCCAGCCCTGGATGGTGGCCCCGTTCTGGCTTGGAAACGGACCCCTGGCCACAGGAAAATCGAGGAAAGGAGAGGGTGCCATCCCTTTGGATCTATTTTGGAACCAGTCCAGGGAGCGGTGGCAGGGCCCCTGAGCCTGTTCCTAAACTCGGAGGAATAAGAGTGCAAAAGGGACAGGTAGGCAAGCAAACGCGTCTTGGATTCGCTCCGCTCTGGCACGAGCGTGCCTGGGCTGGAACCTGGCCTGCAGCGCCTCCTCCCGCCGCGCTCGGCAGCCCCACCGCGGGGAGTGAGGTCGAGACCTAGCTCGGGCCGGGCGGGTGGGCCTGGCAGGCCCTGGGGGCAGCCGTGAGGCTGGGGGGCGCCGAGCGAGCGCTTGGTGCCGAGTTTGGCCGCCAGGAGGCGTGGCGCGGGTCTCCGTACCCCGAGGCGCCGCCACTGCCGCCGCCGCATCGCGAGTGTCCTTGAGCCGCGGGTGACAGTGGCTTTCGCCGCTCGCGCCCCCTCCTCCCACAGGGGCAGCCTGATGCCACGTTTCCTATGAATTATTTATCACCGGCCTAAAAATACCCCGAACTTCACAGCCCGAGTGTAAGAGATTCCTGCGGAGGGGAGGGCCCCCTCCAGCAGGATGGGGGGCGGGGGTTAGTCTTGGAGGAACCAGAACTCGGGGCCCCTATATGTGGGGCAAGACAGAGGGGCAGTCTCTGTCTTGGCGCCTGGGGTCAGATTTTAGCGAGGCAGGAGAGAGGGAGGGGGGAGGGAGACCCGACGGCAGAGGAGAGGCCCCTTGCGGAGGACTGTGGGTGCAGCCCCTCTGCTCTGGGGCTCTGTGCCAGAGTAGGAGGGTGGGAAGCTCCCGGACCTGGAGCGCCAGACCTGGGAGAGGGGATCCATCAGCGCCCCGTGTGAGTGTGTGGGGCTGTCCCTGGCGAGGAGCCTGCCTGAGATATGGGGTAACAGAGGGACAGAAGGGTCCTGAGGCCCTTCAGCATGCGAGGTGTCCCCAGGGACTGACTGTCGCAACTCTCTTGCCAGTCTTTCTGGCCTGCAGGTGTTCAACAAACGCTACTCTACTGGCCATTGGTGAAAGGGTGGGCCAGCGTGGTGAGCAGAGGGCTCCGGGACAGCGCCTCTGTTCTCCAGGAGCTCCAGCCCAGTGAGGGAGGGGACAGCTGCCTGTCACCTGGCACAATGGAGATGTCACCGCAGAGGTCCAGTTCAGAGCTCCCAACCCATGAGAGAAAGGGGCTCTGGGACCAGGGAACCAGAGCTGCTCAGGGCAGACGCCTACAAGGGAATTTAAGTTGGACTCTAGGAAACAGCAGGATTTTGTTAGGAAGAGAATGCTCCAGCCAGGGGATAAATAGGACCAGATTCTGAAGAGGAGAACAGTGTGGCCCTGTTTGGCCACTGGCAGGGCAGGAATCAGGGTCCGTGGAAGAGAAAGCAGTAGCCTGGGGCCAGAGTGTGGGGTCCTGGTACATAGGACTAAGGTATCTGGACTTCATTAGGGGTACTGGGGAGCAGCTGTCCTGCTTGTGGAGGGGCACAGGGACCAGAGGAAAGTTTAAGCAGCCCAGTGGGACATGTGGCCGAACGGGAGTGAGGTGAAGACCAGAGAAGAGAGGGAGGAGGCCAGGGGAAGGGGTGGCTGGCTAGGGGCTGTCCCCTGGTGACCTGGTGAGACTTGAATCTGAGCCTCCCCACCCCTACCCTGGAGTAGGTAATTGAACCCAAAGCCTTCATACTGAGCTACATCCCCAGTCCTTTTTAGTTATTTTATCCTATGATGTTAGGTTTGAAAGATCCTGTGTGCCGGTGATAGACTGGGCCAGAGGGAAGGGTGACGGTGATGTCCAGTGCCCAGGAGGACAGAGGATGGTGTCTGCCAGGTGGAGCCACGAAGGGGAGGGTCCGGGGGTTGGCTCTGTGGCAAACGGCACAGCAGTGGCATATGTTCTGGAGAGGGACAGATGGAAGATCGGGTTTGGGCAGTGGAGAGGACTGGTAGGGTATAGGGGTGTCACAGAACTCCCTTGCTCTAGTTGAGGGGCTGTCACTTAGCGGATGAGGCTGTGGATGACAGCAGGGAGTCCCAGTGCTGTGACACAGGTCCCGTGATTAGCTCGAGAAGAGAACCTGGCTCCGAGGGGCTAGGCCACTGCTCCGGGGGCACACAGGTGGTCAGCATTGGATCTGGGACTTGGGTTCAGGCCCGTCTGACCTTTAAACACCATGTTGGCATGGGCAGTGTGGGCAGAGCCTGGAAGGCTGGGTTTCACAAGCTGCTGTCCTGCCTGCTCTTTCTTAGCTCTTCACCTCAGGCGTCTTGGGGACACTCAGCTAACCTCTGTCTATTTCTGTGTCTCTCTCTCTCTCTCTCTCTGTGTGTCTGTCTGTATGTCTGTACTTCTTTTTGTGGAGGGAGGTGTCTCCTCTTCTCTGTCCCCCTCTGGATATGTGTCCTTTGGCCCTGGCCCTCATCTCTTGTCTGTCTGTCCATCTGCCTCTCTCTGTGCCTGTCCTGGTTTTTCCGCAGGAGCTTCCAGCAGACATGGGTGGGACTCTGGGGCCAGCCCTGCTGTTCACCTCGCTCCTGGGTGCCTGGGCCGGCCCGGGCGAGCAAGCTGTGACAGTGGCCGTGGTGTTTGGTAGCTCAGGGTCACCACAGGCCCAGGCGCGTGCCCACTTCACCCCCCAGAGCTTCCTGGACCTGCCCCTGGAGATCCAGCCGCTCACTGTGGGAGTCAACAGCACCAACCCCAGCAGCCTCCTCACCCAGATCTGTGGACTCCTGGGCGCTGCTCGTGTCCATGGCATCGTCTTTGAGGACAATGTGGGCACTGAGGCAGTGGCCCAGCTCCTGGACTTTGTCTCCTCCCAGACTCACGTGCCCATCCTCAGCATCAG